TCAGGAGTTGCCTGAGTGTCCCCTCAATGCTAGGGATGTGGCTGCTGAAACTGCCACTGACCACACGCTCAAACGCGTGCTGTCATGGGTCCTGTCTGGTTGGCCTGACAGGTGCCCTGCAGAGGATTTTCAACGTTTCTGGATTAAGAGGCATGAGTTGTCCACTTTCAATGGCTGCCTCCTTTGGGGTTCGAGAGTTATGATTCCGGCCTCATTGAGGGCTAGAATCTTGACTTCATTACATGAGGGCCATCCAGGAATCATTAGGATGAAGGCGCTTGCGCGCAGCCATCTGTGGTGGCCTGGCATTGTTCGGGCCATCGAAGCCCAGGTACATGGGTGTCATACATCCCAGCAGTCCAGGCCGGAAATGCCCCAGGCCCCTGTACACAGGTGGGAGGAAACGCACACTCCATGGTCTAGAATACATGTAGATTACGCTGGGCCCTTTCAGGGACAATTCTTCCTGGTTGTTGTTGACAGCCATTCCAAATGGTTGGAGGTCGTGCCTGTGTCTTCTACCACAGCTGCCAAAACCATTCAAGTGTTGAGAAACATTTTTGCTGCACACGGGTTGCCAGATGTTCTGGTGTCAGATAACGGTCCTCAATTTACTTCTACTGAGTTTCAGGGATTTCTACAGGCCAACATGATCCGCCATGCTGCTTCGGCTCCCTTCCATCCTTCCACCAATGGTCTGGCTGAACGGATGGTTCGCGTCGCCAAGGATGCCCTCAAGAAGCTGACTTACGGCAATTGGCATCACAGGTTGGCTGACTTTCTTCTAGCCCATCGTACTACTCCGTGCACTGCCACGGGTAAGTGCCCGGCTGAACTCCGTTGGGGTTGTCGGCTCGTGACTAAATTGGACAGGCTGCATCCGGAGCGTGTAGCGTCACAGGTGTCTCAGCCACACCCACCACGGGTCCTGCGTGAAGGCGATCCTGTCTGGGCCAGAAACTACGGGCCTGGACACCTCTGGGTCCCGGCTGTGGTTTGCAAGGTCTCGGGGCCTCTATCCTACGAGGTGTCCTTGGAAGACGGCCGTGTTCTTCGCCGCCACATTGATCAATTACGTGTGAGGCGGGACTCGCCTGGGGTTCCCCCTCAGTCTCCTCTAGGGGGGGAGGAGGAAGGGGGAATGCATTCTGAGAATCAAAATCTGTTGCCACCAACGGTTGGGGGGAATGACAGGGGTTCTCAACACCCAAGTTCCACAGGTGATTCAGGTAGCCATTCATGGGGACGGGGGCACACTGACACCCCCACACACACTCCAGCCTGGGAGTCTCACCGGAGGTATACTAACTATCCACACCTCACAAACAATACTCCAGACACAGAGAATAACTGGGAGCATACTCACAACTCACAACATGCAAGAGAGCAGGCAAAACAGAGGGGAAACACGTCCTTTGCTGAAATGGCTCATAGAAGGATGTCCCCACGTATCAGGGCTAACAGGGAGGCATCCCTAGACCCTAACACGACAGGTTGGAGCCAGGAAAACCACACTCCGTCAGGAAACACGGAGATGAGTTCAGAGGGGTTGGAAAACTCCATAGGTGGTAGGTCAACCAGGTACGGTGATCAACAGAGTTCTGACTTCTCAAGCCTAAGAGACGGGCAGGAAAGTCAAACTGAAGTCACAAGACAACCACAGGGCAATTCACCTAGTGTGGGAAGCCACGGGGAAAACACTACAAGTTCCCCAGGTCTGAGAAGGTCGCTCAGGGTCAAAGGCCCTCCCAAATACCTTGCAGATTACGTAAGGTGAGAATGTTAACTGCAATCACTTAACTAGAGGTTCTGACTGGTTGACTCTACGTAAACGATGTTGGGGCTACTGGGTCTCTGTATGACGGAACAGTCCCACATCTTACACACACTGTGTAACTTAACTCATCAGTTAACTATATAACCATCACTAAGATGGCGTCCATGTGGGCGCCGTATTATTTTATCTAGGGGGGAGGGGTGTTATGTCCCGAGCCTGCAAAAGCAGGCTCGGGACGTTGCAAGAGTCCCGGGCATTTGCAAAAGCTGCCCGGGACCAGACTGAGTGGCGCCGGCCTTGCGCGCATGCGCAAGGCGGGAAAAGACCGCCTCGTGATCGCCCGGGGATCAGAAGGTATAAATCGCCCGGGGATCAGAAGGTATAAATAGAGGCCTGCGTGCCTCTGCTCGGGTTGTTCGTAGAATGGAAGCAGAGAATAAAGACTTGTTAGAAATGCTTCGTCTCAAGCGCCATTATTCTCCGGACTTAACAGTTATCCCTTGAAATATATTTTCAACCATTCAGACTGTGGAACTAAAATGAAGCAGTCTTTTCAAGCATCCAGAGATATCACCTCTTATTGGAACAAGCAAACTTTCACCTTATTGTATTCCTAATTAATACATGGAAGCGAGATTCTAGGGAACCAAAATAAGAATATTTCCTCAAGAACAAGATGCTGCACTGAGCTTTCTTGGTTGGTTTTGGTCATGCTGAAGCTGTTTTGTGTGGATGCTGTCATTAAACAAAGTAGAATTGATTGGCTACAGTAACTCAAGCCTAGGTTCATGCTAGGCATAAGAAATTTATAATATTCTAAAAGTCAAAATCCTGAAATGTCACTTCATTGCTCTGAGACCAAATAATCTATTCACTGTGTTAAGTAGATTGTACGGCAAGCAAACCGATAAGCGGAATTCCTTCTTAGCTTTTAATGAAAGCCACAGACCATGACGAGGTTAATCCCTGCCATTAGGAGTTACTCTATCACTTCTTTTTCATAATAATAAAGTCTCTGCACTGCAATTTATTAAGCTTTTATAAAATAAAAGCTTAGCATTCAGCCAGTGTTATTATTGCTGTCCAGTTCCTTTGTAACAGTTATCCTTTTTTGCATTTTTAAAAATAGGGTGCATAAGAGAGTTTGGATGAATACATCTCATTTATAAGACCAAGCAAAAGGCAGCTAAAATTTCTGCTGATCTTGTAAAGTTAAGTGGGCTAGATCTAATCAATACTTGGATGGAAGTTCATTCAAAATATCCTAGAAGTGTAAACTGCACTGAGACATTTAAAAAAGCCCCAGTAGAAGCTAATGAGAAACCATTTCATTTTTTTACTTAGAAAACTACATACATCAATCAAATATTATGAACAAAGACTTGAATTCTATATAAAACATCAAGAAACAAACATAAAATAAACTAGAAGACCTCCAAGGTCCCTTCCAGCTCTATTCTATTCTATTCTGTTCTGTTCTGTTCTGTTCTGTTCTATTATATTTCTAAAAAGAGAGATGGATAAATATTATAATTGCCTTCTGATATAAACAATATATCAGAACTTAATTATTCTTGTAGTTTTCTTATATTTGTCCTGAGTGAACAGGATTTTGTAACCATTTTGAGATTTTTAAATATTTATCAGCTAATAAGAAAATATATTGTTTTCTATCATATAGCTAGATACAGAAAACAGCATCACTGATTCAATAGCTAATTCAGGAGAACAAGTGACATTATTCAATCATTTCTTCCATACAAGGCCAGATTTGGCCCTAAGAGGAAAGGTTATTATCCTTCTAGAAACAATGGTGGCAAAATATTGACAAGAATAAATGCTCCTCTGTGAAGAACCGAGAAAACATACAAATATTTTGGAACGGGGAGGGGGGGGGAAGTCTGCTTCAAAGGTTGATGCTATAGTGGTGATATATTCTGTCCTCTCCATCTGAAAAACTAGATCCAAAATTCATAGTTGGTCTCTGGTTCTCAACTATTCTTGTTCCTGCAACATGTGGTTAGTTGGCTATTGTCATTAACTTGCAAATAAAGAGTTTATTTTTAAAATGTTTATCTACTACTATGTAAATTGCTGTCTCACATCAATGATAAGTGGGACCTATATGAAAACAATTTATTAGACTCTCTACTTAAATTCCTCAAAGCCCAACAGTTTTGGGCAAAATTAATTAATTTAACTAATTAAAAAATCCTAACAATATATTTTTTCTGGCTATATCCACTACATGGATGTGTTCGTGAAATCATCAGGAGCTAAGTTCAAATCAAAGGAGTTTACTTTTCACAAATAAATTGAAGAAAAAAATATCGTAAATAAAACATTTTAATCATTGCAACAATTCAGAATACACTATAATATGATAAATGCATAATAAAAAGCATTTGTAACAATAACATTTTATATTGTAATTATGCTTACATGCCTATTAATTATTATTTAAATGAGTACAAAAGAAGGACTGTCCTCCCTAAAGGAGGATGATTGGTCACCTTATGTTTAGTAAACATTATACAGGTAGTCCTCAACATATAACAGTTAATTTATTGACTGTTTGAACTTACAACAGCACTGAAAAAAGTGACTGTTTTCCCCACTTACAACTATTGTAGCATCCCCATGGTCATGTGATCAAAATGCAGATGTTTGGCAATTGACTCATATTTATGACGGCTGCAGTGACTTGCAATCCTGTGATCACCTTTTGCAACTTGCTGACAAGCAAAATCAGTGGGGATTCACTTAACAACTATGTTACTAAATAACAACTGCAGTGATTCATTTAAAAACTGTGGCAAGAAAGGTTGTAAAAACAGAGTAAAATTCATTTAACAGCGGTCTCGCTATCAATTTTGGACTCTATTGTGGTCATAAATCAAGGTAAATAAAGGGAAGAAAACTGTTAGTCCAAAGAATATCCTAAACTAAGGCTTGCAGTCTCTAATAGCTTACTAGAAACTATGCATTACACCATAAAGAGAAATAAACTGATGCATTTGCTATTCATTCAGATAAGCACATACTCATAAATATCCCTTCTATGACAATTAGACCTTAAAACAGTCTCCATTGTCAACAATACAATTGTAAATCTGATTTTATAGCATGGGAATAAATTTTCAAAAGTTGTCACAGCCTTAAAAACAAGGACATAAATTGTTCCCAACAGCGATAACTCCTAAAATGTCTATACAAAGCAATAAGTATTTAAAACAAGGTAGGAAAACCATGCAAAACACAGGTTTTGGAATTTTTCCCCAGTCCTTAATAATGGCATGCTTGGGGTGAGGCAACCATGAATGGGAAGCTTAGAATGGAATTGCTTGGCAGCATTCGAAGATATTTTTCTTTTTCTTTCAATTGTTGGATTTTCTACATCCAGCAAAATTTAGCCCACTCTGTTCAGTTTTCAGCTCTTTTCATGTCCATTAGCAATGTGGAGATTTTTAAAGAAATGGAGGCATGTAATTTTTCCCCAAGAATTCATAATCTTGGGCAGATGGACATTCAACTTCTTTCTGCTCAAGAGTCATCCTCTTTGCCCTGAGACGTTTCTTTAATAATTAGCCTTTTAACATCCTCCTTCTCTATAAATTGACACTAAAAAGGCTTCCTATATCTTACATGAACTGTTATATCAGCACAGTAACAGATTATGTGGGACAAGTAGACAAGTAATCAGAGTTTATGAATATAATCCTATGGATCGGAAGAGGGCAGTTTCCAATCTAATGCTAAATAAGACCCCTGAACCTTTTGTTTTGTTTTGTTGTGGTAGTAATGGGGGTATCTCCTGTGGAATGCAGAGTACTTGTTATTTATTATTTTCCATTGTTTTTACTATTTTAGTATGTTTTAGTATGTTAAATGCAATGTATTTTTTGAATTGTAAGCCACCCAGAATCTTTAATTGAGACAGTTGGCTATAGAAATTGAATGAATGAATGAAAATGAATGAATGAATGATTAAATAAATAAATATAGAGCATTTGGCAAAAATCAATGAAATGGTTGCCTACAATCTGAAAGCAGGAAACAGAAGAACTGAGCTTGAATTCTAAAATAGAAAATGCTTTTTTTTA